CTTTTCAGTGGTACGTGGAGACAGGACAAAGGGAAACGGATACAAGCTGCAGCATAGGAAGTTCCGCACGACTGTGAGCAAGAACTTCTTTATGGTGAGGGTGACGGAGGGCTGGAACAGGCTGCCCAGGGAGGTGGTGGAGTCTCCTTCTCTGGAGATGTTCAAGTCTCGCCTGGATGCCTACCTGTGCGAACTGGTGTAGGGAACCTGCTTTGGCAGGGGGGTTGGTCATGACGATCTCTAGAGGTCCCTTCCAACCCCTACAATTCTGTGATTCTGTCTGTATACCTTTGTTGGTGAACTAGAAGTGGTGATAAAATATATGCTTATCGCATTTGCAGATGGCACAAAACTGGGTTGAACATTCAATACATCGTGGGGAAGTGCTTCCATGCAGTGTGGTACCTAGACAGACTGGAGAAAAGGGCTGACAGGAACCATAAAAAATTCAACAGGAAATGCAAATTCTTGGAAAGAGATATGCCCCTGCAATGTTACTGGCTGGGCAGAAAATTCTGTGGAAAAAAACTTGGGAGTCTTGGTGCACATTCAGCAAGCTAAACAAGCCAGGAGTGTGCCTTGGCAACAAACAAGGTCAACAGTATCTTTGGCTGCATCTACAGTAGCGTAGCCAGTAGTCTAAGGAATGTGATTATCCTTCTCTAATCAGCACTTATTGGACTGAACTTAGAATGCTGCATCCAGTTTTTGGCCCCCCAGTCCAGAATGGATACTGATAAACTGAAGCAAGTTTAGAAAAGGAATGCCAAGATGGTCAGGGAAACACGTCATCTGAGAAGTTAAAGGAACAGATTGTTCAAACTGAAGAAGAGAAGGCTTCTGGGAGACCCACTAGCAGCCTTCTGATACCCACAAGGAAGTGATCAAGAAGAGGAAGACAGGCAGTTGGCAGATAGTGGACAGAAGAGAGACAATAGGCATAAACTGAAATAAGATAGGTCCTAATTGGATATACAAAAAAAGCTTATTGTCATGAGGACACTCAAGCAGTGGAACAAGTTGCCAAGAAGGATGCTGCAGTCTCCATCCTTGAAGGTTTTCAAAACTTAACTGGACAAAGACCTAACTAACCTAGGCTGATCTCATAATTGACCTGTTTTGAGTAGGATGTTGAATCAAAAGCTTACTGAAGCTACTTTCACAAGAATTATTTCATGATCTTGAGTTCAATGTGCCCAAAAACAAGCAACAAAGCTGATAAAGGATCTGGAGAACAAGCCTCATGAGAAGTGACTGAGGGAACTTATTCTTCAGTCTGGAGAAGAGGCCCAGGAGAGACCTTATCCCCTTTACAATGGCCTGGAAGGAGACTGTAGCAAGGTTGGGGTCAGCCTTTTCTCTCAGATAACTAGTAGGAGGGCAAGAGGTAATGGCCTTAAGCTGCATCAGAGAATGGTTCAGGTTAGATATTAGGAAAAAATTCTTAAGAGTGGTACTGCACTGGCACAGGCTGTCCAAGAAGGTGTTTGAATCACTGTCTCCAGAGGTGTTCGAGAAATGTGTGGATGCGGCACTGCAGGACATGGTTAGTAGAGACAGGTTGACATTGGTCTAGATGACCTTAGAGGTCTTTACCAACCATAACGATTCTACAATTCCAAAGACAGTGCTTTGCACATACTTGCACAACTTTCCCACAAGTTTAGAACACAAAACTCCAGAGCTGTGTGAAAGCTATCCAAATATTCAGGACAAGATCAAATAAAGCTTCATATGCATTCTCTCCTAAATACTACTGTATTTTAAGATGCAATCACAGCTTTACAAAGGCAACACCAGAAGCAGTATTTTCCCTACCCTCTGAAAGCTTAATGCACTAATACACATGTGATCAAGTCAAACTGTAAATCAAATGTAGAAGACTGTTCATGGACTTGATATGAAGATCCCGCCCAAAGCATCACACTCACTCAAAGGTGATAAACAGAACACCTACTACAGCTGTTCAGTTTAAACTGCTACTACCGTGAGCTGTGCAATAGTGTCACCTAGTGGACAGTACTTACAACAAAGTGAGGGCCAATTCGAGAAGAAAAATCTGCCATCTACCAACTTTGTTACTCTATGAAACCAGTTGGGACTTATAACTTTTGTATACACATATTCATATGCACATGAAGCAAAAATTGCAGCAACGAATAATGCAAATACTTTTCCATCACTCAGTTTTGAGTCACACAAAGCTTTCATAAAGTTGGAAAATGTCATTTGAGAAATAGAAGAAATGTTCTACCTGGATGTAAGCAGCATTTTACCATTTGGTCTAAATGAGGAGGATTTCAAAAATAGATGGGTACTGCAGGCTTTAATTTATATCATAAAAGAGCCTCCAGTTCAGCAGGTGGATAATAATCATCCACTCCACTGGCAAATGCAACACTTACATTTTTCTGTCTCTTGACAGGAAACAAGTAGATCATGCAAGTTCTCTATTTACTTCATAAACATTGTCCAAGATGTACACAATCTGTAAATAGTTTGAGGGGTTGTAAGCTTTACAGCATCCCCAAACTTTAAGGAATGTTCATGCTTCTACTGATTCCTGAAAGTTCAGCAATGTCTTCTAATGTTGCACAGCTAGAGAATGAGAAGAAAATTTCAGAGATTTGTAAGAATGTTTATTCTGCTCAGCAAATTCTCCTTGAAAATACTGTTTTGGTGTTTTTTTTTTGTTTTTGCTTTTTTGTTTGTTTGATTGATTGATTGATTGTTTTTGTTTTTTTAAATACTATCTCCTGCTACCAGATGTCCTTAAAGTTTGTGTCTCACCTGAATCAAAACATCATAGTTTCATTAAGATTTTGCTGTTCTACTCATCTATTGTTCAGTTTCTTTCTTAATGGAATGACTTGAGGATGAGAAAAACATTTTGTGTACTTTGTAGCACAGAAAATACTAAGACCTTTACAGCAGAGAAAGAGCAACGCCACATATAGATTGCTCGTTATCCTCCCAGATTTCTGAGAAAGTTCCTAAGGAGTAAGCAACTAAAAACTTCTGCTGCACTGTTGCTCAGTTCTTCAGGTTTTTTTTGTTTGTTTGTTTTGTTTTTCTCCTGTTCTTTATTCTGCAGTAATAATAGAGTTAGAGAAATTTCTTTTGTTAAACTGCTTCTTTTGGAATTTATAATAAATGTAAAATCACAGGCAGGTCATGCAGACTGTCCCCACTCACATGGCTTACTAAACACTTGCTAAAAGAAAATGGAATAGCTTTCTTTCTGTGCACAAATCTTGCGATCCTTAAGTTCAAGAACTTCAGCATTCTAATGAATATTCCTTTGAAGACAGTCAACAAATTGATATATAATTGTATAAATTGTCCTACAAATATTTAGCTACTAGATATAGAAACATATAAACCTGATAGCAGTATTTTTTTTTTTAAATATATCTTGCAGTTAAAAAAAACCATTCTAAGTGCAAGAAGAGATAACAAAAAAAAAAATAAATAAATACAGCACAGATAGCTTTTGTTCTTGACAAGTGATACAATGACAACTACATACATACATGTAATCTACTGAACATGCCAGAGTCTGATATTAATGAGATATGTCGTAAAATAGTATAGATTCTCATATCATCTATACAGAATTATAAAAGGAACTAGAATGCTGAAAAGGGCAGCAGTTACAGCAACAGGAAAAAAAGAGAAAGCAATAGAATAAACAGATGAATGCTGAAAATGATTTCCAGGTAATCAAGATAATTCTCCCAATTAGAATTTCCAATTTTCCAAAGCAACTACTGATTTTTCTCACATTTTAAACAGAAGGGTGTGATTAACAAGAGACGGCATTTTGTGTTACAATTCGCTGAATCACACATAATCAGAAAGTAGTCTTTCCATCTTAAAAGATAAGTTGGTACACAAGTGTTACTTTCTTTCCTCATTTTTATGAATGTATAATGCCAGACATAACTTAATAAGGAAAAAAGCATATGCTAGAAGTGGAGTCAGAGGCTTTCTTTAATGATTACAGACATAGACGGATTGTCCCTGATATCTAGAATATTCAAATGAAAAAACCAAGAAGCAGCATTGAAAAGTAAAACAAAAACTGCATGGGGAAAAAAAAAAAAACAACTTTAGAAATACTTCCAACTCCAATGGAATATGAATGGTAATTTAAATAAGGCTTTTTGTTGTTCTATAACATTTTCTTTTCACAACTACATAAATCAGATTATTTAAACTAAAACAGATCTTTGAGCATAGAACTATAATAGGTAATTGGCTAAAGTTTTGTAAAAAAAAAAAAAAAAAAAAAATTGCTGATTATAAATGAAAAATGTTACTAACCTCTATTATTTAAAAAGAATGCTCTACCCTAAAGCCAGTACTGTCCTAGCACCTACTAATTTAAATAACTATTATACTGATGCTTGTCTGTCATTCATCCTACATTTATAACCCTGCCCAAAAGATTAACTTCAAGTCTTCAGAAACATCCAAACCCAAAAGCTTCACAAGAGCCTTCCCAAGAAATAACTAATACAACTAGCTTCTGTTGTTAAAAATAAGGGAGCAGAAAGGCTAAATAGCCTGTCATTATTCATCAGCTCTTAATACGAAAGAAATGATTGACAAGGGAGTCCTTTATAGAAAAGTAAATAAAGTGCTATAACATAAAGGAGTAATAAATGAGGAAGAAAAATTAAAAGATCTTTATGTCTTTATCAGACCCACCTGATTTAAACCTTTTGGAAATCCACTTACAATTAAGGAACTAACCAAATGTACATACATGCACTAATCAAGTAAAAATTTAATACAAATATTAGCCTCAAAACCTAAAAGCTTATCCAAGCTGTTTTCCAAACATTTGTATTTTTCTAGCTAAAAATTAAACATTTAAACATTTACTATGAAATAAGTGATTAGATCTTCTTTTGTCCCCTCCTCCTCAAGCCAGGCGAACAAGAAAAATAGAAAGTTGCTCAAAAGAGACAGAAATACAATAGAAATTCTATTACCTTGGATCTGGGATTTCACCAATAATTTCTCCCAGCTTGTCAATAAAATTAATGAAGTTAGAAAGCCCCTTTAGGTGGACTCTTAGTGGATCAAATAATGAAGCTGCACAGCCTTTTCCTCCATGTTCTACTGTTCGGATAAAAGATGTTGCCATCTATTAGAAGAAATATTTAGAAAATGAACATATTTTGAAGTGACTTCCTACAGATACGTAAACCACATAACAGCTGGATAATAATAGAAATCTAATGGAAACCAACAGAATACCTTTTAATTGCAAGCTGTTTACATTTCTCCGTATACATTTGCAAGCCCAATACTTAAAGTTGGGCTTTAAAGTACTTACAAGTTAAACGAAAATGATCCAACTGATTTGATATTTACACTGATAGCTTGGAAAAAAACATTTACTTTATTAAAATTGCACAGTTTTGTTGTTGTTGCTGCTCTTTAAGTGTTCACGCTTACCTAACAAAGACAAATCTTACATTTAGAGGGTTGTTTACAACCTAGGAACATTTAATACAAGCACACAAAGATTTACTTGAGAATTATATTTATTTTTAGGGGTAGAAATAAATACGATGAATATTCAAATTTTCTAAAAAAAAAAAAAAAAAAAAAAAATAGCTAAAGGTTCTAGCATCACAGATACTCCATTCTGAAAGTTTCCCTATATTTTATATACAGTAAAGACACTGAAAATAAGAGATATCCCATCAGCAGTCGTCCTGGTTTCAATTGGGATGGAGCTGATTTTCTTAACAGCATCTAGTTGATGCATGCAACATCCAACAAGTCTCTTGTCCTGAAGGATTGTTACAATAGATGGAGCCCAAAGTCACAGATTAAGTGAACTCCACAGACAACATTGTGAAATGGCCTAAAGACTATGGAAACAATGTCTGCGCATACATACGTATAGATGGAATAGATGGAATAGATGGAATAGATGGAATAGATGGAATAGATGGAATAGATGGAATAGATGGAATAGATATCTCTCTCTCAGAAGGCAGAAAAGGTGATGGTAATCAATTGGGGTGTATTGGAAAGTGTGGGACTTGAGTATTATGTAAACAATACAGAATAAGAAGCGGATATTGATCTGGTTTCAACTGAGACAGAACATATTTTCTTCTTATTGTCTGCTATGTTGCTATGTTTTAGCTTTAGAAGAAAAACAACATTGATAACATGCTGATGTTTAAGTTGCTGCTCAGCAGCGCTACGCAGCATCAAGGATATTTCAGCTTCTCATGTCCTGTCAGTGACAGGGCGGGGGATGCACAAGAAGCTGGGAAGGGACAGAACCACAACTGTTGACCTAAACTGGCCAAAGGGATATTCCATACCATATGACATCATGCAAATATAAAACTGGGGGAATTGGGGGTGGGTGAGCTTCTGCTGCTCAGGGTCTGGCTGAGCATTAGTCAATGGGTGGTGAACCATTTCACTGTGCATCACATGCATACATAAATGTTCTTATCATTACTATTATTTCTCTCATCCTTTTCCATCTTAGTAATATTTATAATCTCAACCTATGAGATCTATTTATTTTTTTTTTCCTGATTCTCTCCTCCATCCTACTGGAATGCAAAGAGAGTGAGCAAACAGCTGTGTGGTGCTGAGCTGTCTGCCAGGTTGAACCACAACAGCAGCACACTTTAGAGTGTAACCCCTCACATTTAAGCCAACAGTTAAATAAAATAAATCTCTCCATAAAAAGTTAAAGATAAGAACCTAAAACATTAGACAGGTACAGCAATATTAATTCTACCTATACAATTTAATTTCATACTACACAGTTAAATCATAAAGCTCTTGGGACTGTAAAGAATACAACTGGAATTACTCTAGCAAAGAAAATAAACCTGCCAGTATCCCTGCTTTTGCACTGGATTAATATGGTTCATAGGACCTTGCCTTCCAATGGAAAGTATTCTGGCTTTGCAGGACTTTCTGCAAGACACAGATGCCAGAAAAGACAACTTCTTTACACAGTAGAGAAGTTTCCCCTCTGGCAGCTGGGAGGAAGAAGCAATAAATCCAGTCCAAACACAACTTTTTTTTTTTTTTTTTTTCACATACAATTTTAACAGAGCATTAGGAGCTCAAATAATTAATCCTGCAACTGAGATTTCACAAATTTTCCATATTTTTAAACCGTAAAATCTGAAGCAATAAGTGCAGCTGCTTGAGAGACTTTTATATACCCATACTATTTTTCCTTGGTCTACTGTTGACTGTACAGATCCCACTGTGTATGCAAAATTTGATTATCTGAATATGAGGGACCACATTGATTCTCTGGAGAAAGAAATCTTATTCATCTATTTTTGAGATGGCTGTGTGCTGGATATAACTGCTCTAATTATAAATATAAATTCACCTCACATACAAAATTAGATTCCTTAGCTCCAAGCCTCTCTGAGGACTATATGCTGTAATTTTTTCTTGTTCCTGTATAAGGGAGAACACCATCCTTTGTTTTTTCTCTCTCCAGCCCTGTGCCTTTGAGAATAACATGAGCAAGAATATCCCATATCAATCACATCTTGAAGAATGTTTCAAGACCGATCAAGCTGTAAATGAATGGCAAGTATTACACTCCAAAAATTCTGAGTCAGAGCCGAAAAAACAGCAATACTGTTCCTCCAAATTTTGGTCTTTCATCTACACATCAAGCACTGGATTTTTTTCTTCAGATTGCTCTACGAAAGGAATTTTGTACAAAGAAACATTAGGTTACAGTTTAACAAATACACAGAAAAATTGTGTTTTTTCCACTTAACCAAAGTATGTTCTTGCAACACTCTGGATATATTATTAATAGACTCTTTTTGTCAAGAGATTCCTGTTTTTACCAGATCATACTGTAGCGTTCTAGAGATTCACAGGCAGAAATTATATTTTTGGGGTATCTTTAGATCTCATGACCAATCATCTACTTTATAAGATGAAATCTGTTGTGCTGGTTTTCTTTGTTTTTAAGCCTTGAAACTCTCTTTATGATAGTGTTTGAGTTGGCTTGCAAATGGTAGTCTTGCAGATGAGACTAAAGCAACATTTCATGTTTTTATAAATCTATTTCATAATCTCTGATCTGATCTACAGCAAGTTTCATCGGATTCACATACCAGGAAAATTGACATTTTTCTCTCCTGTGAGGCATGTTTTAGTTTAGTGAAGGCTTCTCTACCAAGTCCTCTGTCAGGAACGTTTAGAATACGAGCCAGTGCCAGATCATCCTTAGAATTCACCAGCAGGCTTAAATATGAATAAAAACACTTCTTGACAAAGAGCATCACCTGTATAAAAAAGCATCAACATTGATTAGTCACCCTGCCGCTAAATTACATGTGTGCTAGTAATAAGACTTTTATAGAAGTGTCTCACTTTGCATAATTTCAAATTACTTAATGTATGGGAATTCTGGAAGTTTTTACAAAAGCAAGCATGATTAATATGCATTAAAATTATGTGTATTATACTTGAATAATCACACTGACACAGGATGCCCAGAAAAGCTGTGGATGCTCCATCACTGAAGGCATTCAAGGTCAGGTTGGATGGGGCCCTGGGCAGTCTGATCGGGTGGGTGGCAGCCCTGCCCATGGAAGGGGTTGGAACGAGATGATCTCTAATTTTCTTTCCAAATTAAGATGTTCTACGATTCTATGACATTTAGCTATTACAATTGGCTATCTATTTCTGCTTAGAGATCTCCTAACAGATGTTCCTTTTACATCCCAAAGTAAAATTCTAATACCATGAAACCACATAAAGGATTTACATTAATTTCAAGAAGGCTAAAATTTTCATCACCTCACCAGCTCCAGCTCAGATTCACTAATTTTCCCCTTGACTCCCAGGGATATCAATCATAGAAGTCTCACTGATTGAAGAATTAGAATTTTATATCCAACTCCACCCACATAATCAAATTATATCAATATAATTACTTATATTGCAGCACTGTTCAGGATCCTGTAAGAATAACAGTCCCAGAACTGAAAAATTTACATTTAAAAATTAAAAAAAAAAGAAAAAAAGACTATTGATGAAAAGAAAACTAATGAGAAAAGCTTTATTTGCTACATGTTTTTTTCTTATTCAACAGGAATTCAAAAATATATAGATGTAGCAGCTTAAGAGGATAGATTTGAGAGAAAGAAAAAAAGGGCAAGGAATATTTTTTTCTACACATGCCAATGTCAAGCAAGCCATTAGCTTAGTGGTAGAAGTGCTGTCTAGGGAAGAACTGTAGTGAAAAAACAGAAAAGCACTAAACTGCATTTCACTGAAACATTTTTCAGCCTGATATCATGTTGCTGGGACAATGTTTGTTCACATGTTGAGAATTATTTTTTAAGTTGTATCTACACAGCATCTACAGCATTTAAATTGCTACTTCTGGTGAGTAAAGTAAGCCAGGAAATGGCAAAAGCACTAGCATTTCAAGTACTGCAATACAGTATTCTCAGATTCTTATTTGGGGGGTTGAATCAAGTGTTCCCCAAAAGTCTTCAGCCATCTACTGGGATAAACAAAGACTTGCTTGCTTTGCTACAGCTACCATTACAGTTGCTATCCAGATTTCTTCCATAAGGAAGTAAATATGAGCTAATGAAAACAAGGTGATGAAACCTAATAAGTCTACATCACTTAGCACTTCATTTGGCAACATCAGGCAAATCATTTAACTCTCAGTTAATAAGGCTATGATAGTATATTTGAAGAAAAATGTTTAAAGGCACTTAAAGACAGATTACATCTACATACTAAGTGCCTGCCATAAGAGGACTGTCTTTCAGAGTATAAGTTCATGTAGTTACCCCATAGACACACTGATGAGTTACAGTTTGAAAGCACTTGTGTATTATTTTTAAAATAGCAATATTTTAATAACAATAATTGCAAAAAGGAAACAACGTAACATATCACATTGTGTTGTGTAGACATGGGAAACTTAACACTACAAAAAAAAAAAAAAAGATAGAAATAATTTTTACCTTCACACTGTTCTGCTCCTGTCTGTAGACTGGTGTAGAAGGAAGAACAGAACCATTACTTCTTGATACATTCATTCCACCAGAAATAAATTCTAGCAGTTGAACCTTCAATAAAACGAGTTGAATCAGTTAAAATATGAAGGTGACTAAAAAGCAGAAATACTATTAAAACCAAGTGAAACCATGATTTCTTACAGTTTGCTAGTTTTCTGAGACCCAAAACTTACTTTTTCTTCAGTCTTCATAAGTACAAATGTTTAGAGAGAAATCAGGTGTAAAGACTCAACTTACAGATCTTCTGTAAGACACTTGCACTAAAAGCAGCTTCTTGTCTTTCGGGAAAAAAAAAAGATAACATTGCACCACAGATATGAAAAGCCCGTTAATCTTCTCAAGTTTTTTACATTATAAAAAGAAATTAGAAAATGAGAGCTTCCTGAACTTCAATCCTCCTTGTAACTCCTTTTGTATCCAGTAATTGGAATGTTTAACTAGAGGTTCTCTCAGTTTAAGGAAGCAGGCAAACTTGTTACAAGCATACCTCTCACTGAATCTTATAACAATGTTTCTATGTTTTGATATTTCTGATGATGAGATTTCACATATTCTCTCAGGAGTCTGTTCCAGTATTTGACTACTTTTTCCACGGACACAGCTTTATTCCTGACTCAATAGGAAGAGTTCCTCAAAGCAACTGAAATATTTTATTTTTTTATTTCCTAGTTTTTATCTAATAATTCAATTTACCTTCCTGCACGAAGACAGTTAACTCTTTCCATAATTTTTCTTACAAGCCAGAAGTAGTTGAATCTAAATCCACAATTTATTTATTTATTTATTTCTTAAATCAAAATCCTTTGTCTTTGACCTTTCCATGCTCTAGAGAGCACAAAAATCAGACTCATATGGCATGCTTATATTTCAAAGTTTTTCAGTTGCTACTAACACAACCCAATCATCAGCCCACAAGGGCTCAGGATAAGGAAGATTATTATCTCACTAATTTAATATCCTTCTATGATAAGATCTCCCTGTGAACAAAAGGAAGGCAGTAGAAGTAGTTTTTCTGTATTTTAGCAATGCTTTTGATACGGTCCCTCAGTCTTTCTGGATAAACTGTCCAGGTTTGAGACAAACAGGCACATTGTATGCTGGGTGAAAAACTGGCTGAACAGTAAGTAGGGCTTGAAGTGCTGCAGTAAAGAAAGACTACATCTGGTTGGTGACAAGTCATTCTCCAAGGCTCAGTCTTGACACCAGTTCTATTCAACATTTTCATCAATGATTTCTATGGAGTTAAATGCATCTTTCCAAAATTTACTGGTGATACTAAACTGGTAGGTATTGCTGACTCTCTGAAGATACAAAAGGCTTCTAGAAAAGGGACCTACATTGATCAGAACCATTGGGCTATTTGCAACAGTATGAAATTTATCAAATGTTGGATTCTGCTTTTGGAATTGAGTAATATCAGACATACATACAGCCTGGGACGCAAGTGGCTGGAGAGGAGTCCTGCAGAAAGGGACTTGGGGACTCTGGTTGACAGCTGGCTCAACATGAGTCAGCAACATACCCTGGCAGCCAAGAAGGAAAGCAGCAATGTGGAATACATTAAACTCAGCATAGCCAAACAATCAAAGGGGTCATTCTCCAACTATATTTAGCATTAGTGCTGTCTCACCTCAAATACTCTGTTCCGGACTCCATGTTCTAAAAAGCACAGTAAGATACTTGCCTGTGCGCAGAGAAGGCAACAAAACTGGTTAAAAGAGCTGGAAGGCATATCCTATGAGGAACAACTGTGAACACTGTGTTTGTTAAACTTGGTGAAAAGGAGGTTGAGGAATGATCTGATTGCTCCTTTCTGAGGAGGGGAAGTGGAGAGGGGGTTGCTCCCTGGTATCTAGTGACAGGACACACAAGAGCAGTTCAAAGCTGCATCAGTCAGAAACTGATTAGACGTTATGAAAAATTTATGAACTACAAAAAACTTTCAGACATTGGAGCAGGAATCCTAAAGAGGTGGCTGACATTCCATGCCTGTTTGTGTTTAAGAGGCATTTATATAATGTTCTTAATGACATGTTTTAAACTTTGGATCAGTCCTAAAATAGTCTAACAGTTGGACTCAATTTTATTTTTTCCTTCCAGCAGCTAATATATTATTCAATATATTTTGATCTGGTAAAAATTAATCAAATTTGTGCTATTTTCATTGTCAGACTGGACTACATACTACAACTTCTCTAACCTACAGCATAGCCTTATGTGCAGAGTTACAATAACTGAATTGCAATAAACTGCAATAGATGCTTGACTGAGTAGCTGAAAATGAAGCTCTTCTGGTTTCCCAAAAAACATCAAATGAAGCTACGTGTAGAATATGGAGGAGTTTTTGTGTTTAAAAGTATGTTATTTTTATAACAAAAAAAAAAAAATATTTGGACTGCATAGCAAGATATATCCAAAATTCCGTAGCATGTTAATCATTAAGATTTGATGCAGTCATATCAAATCTCTACAGTTTGCCTTTTTCTGGCAGAAAATCTTCTGGAGAAGAGGTCTACACATCCAGCAGGATGACAGAAAGAAGTAATTTTTGGAATGGTCTTATGAGTCTTTAAAGGATTTAATAATTTAAACATATCTGTTTTCCACACAGAAAAAGCAAGTAACTTGTGAATAATTCAGGATTTCTGCACATACTTTAGAAGCACTGTAAATCCATAATCATTATCAGAAGTATCAAAATAATATCAGAGATTAATCAAACAAAATACTTACGGGGGCAATACTTTCATCTTCAGAGACAAGTGCAAGAGCACAGCACTTTTGATATATGTCTATTATATCTAACATATTGCTGCTTGCTAAGAAAGTATGATAGGCCCTTTTAAAGTCAGCATAATTTTCAGGTTCTTCCATGTTCTCATACAATAATCCTAGTTTGTCATGTAACAAATATTTCCAAGTTTCCATCACATCAATGAGTGATGCTGCGAAATCTCCATGGTGCTAATAAAACAACAATAATAAAAAAAATGTTATATATTTAGTAGTTTTAAAAATTACTTTAAAACAAGTTGCATATATGTCTACAAAGAAAAACTACTACAATCTAAATATTTGCATTTGTAATGAATGGAGTGTTACTCATAACTGCAGTTCTTTCAATGCTTTTGCCTTACAGTTGACTTTTTGGAATTTGCAGTCCTTGTTCCTGATCCCTTGTTCCTAAAATACCAGGCATATATTTTGAACTTTGCTGACAGAAACAGACATTGATTTTCACAGGAGTATTATACACCAAAATCAATTATTTTTTTTTCCTCCAATGCTAATACACTTCTACTCTTACATAATATTGATATTATTGCCAAAGACCTAAAGAATGCATTAAATCAAGACACACCTAAGCACAGGCAGATCCAAAAGTAATGCCTCCTATTTTATTTTGTTGGCCCACAACATCATAGGCAGATGTCGGTGGTATGGCAGTAGAGGCTGAACCTTCCTGCCAGTATTCCATTACATTTTGTTGCTGTGTGACATGGCAGTAGAGGGGCAGTCTGACAAATTTGCATCTGACACAGAAGTGCAGATGAAGCAGAGGTCTTGAATTATCCCATGCGGAGAAAATTGCACTCTTTGACTTTCAATGGATGTGAGCACAGTGAGGCAGTAGGAGACGTATTTCAGTAGTGGCAACCGTGGGTCACCTGGGCTTGTGAAGATTTTAACCAGGGCAGCATGCAGGCTCTTGTATTTACTGCATGTAAGTGAAATTACAAAGTAGCAGAGATTTCCTACTAGTTAGACTCAGCTATGGTAATGGAACAAAAGATAAGGCTTGGGATGCTGGTCTACCTACACATTTCTAACCTCCCCAATTCAGAAATCAGCCCTATAGCCATCTTTAAATTTGCATGTGGTTTCTAGCATAATTCAGTGCTATGAACATGCCTGCTACTCCAGAGATTGCAAGAAAATTAATATCATATGTTTTCTATAGAGCATGTTTTCCACTCCAACTTCTCCAAAAACTAAATTTGTAACCATATTGTAATCACCTTCAAGAAAATCAAAACAATAGTACATTGAAGAAAAAAAAAAGTTCTCACTATTTTCTTACTTCTGGAAGAATTTTTCAAACTAAATTACAGTACAGTTTAAATATGGTACCTAGTAAATCAAAACTTTTCCTTGCAAGAACAAGGACCAGCAGAGATTAGCAAAGTTTATATTAGCACTGGAAGAATATTTGAAATTCAAGTTGAATTTCACTCCAGGTGCTAACTTATACCATCAGGCACTCACTGTGACAGTGCACTCCATTACTTACACAGTCAACTGTCAAGAGTATCTGGTTTTAAAGGGAACATTAATAAAATATGATGTTTTGCAATAAGCATATGCCAGCTGACTAATACCCAAAGGAAGTCCAAAAAGTTCTGGACTTTTATTGCATGATAGACATTGCAGTGTTATGTTTCACAGTGTCTTAGTTTCAGCTGGGACATAGTTGTTTTCTTCAGAGCGTCTGGTATGAGGCTATTTTTTGGTTCTCAGAGAAAAAAAATGTTGATAACACAACAATGTTGCTGCTAAGCAGTGCTGTTCAGAGCCAAAGACACCCTCAGCAAGGGCTGGTAGGGTGGCTCAAGTAGCTGGGAAGGAACAAAAAAAATAAAATAAAATCAGGGCATCTCTTTGCAATCTATCAATTTCTTAACACAAAGGGCAACACCCACTCTCCTCATTCCCTGCTTATCTCTTCTACAAAGATTGCACTCCCTGACTACAGTATTCCAATTGCATGATACTTCCTACCCTGTTTCTGTGATAACAATTAAGTCATAGTTTTTTAATTGCTCCATCGATTCTAATTCTTCTTGTTTATTTCCCACGCCACGCGCATTGGTATAGAGGCATTTCAGCTGGGCTATCAGCAGTGTTATCTTTTTTAAAAAGCCTTCCTCAGTTCCTTTAGAGCAATTCTGAGGTTTTTTTCTGCTGCTCCGTAATGACATGTCTATGGCTTTTCTGCTCAGGGAGATGGTGGAGTCATCGACCCCAGAGGCATTCAAGAAATGCTTCTATGTTGTATTGAGTGACATGGTTTAGTGGGAAATATTGGTGATAGGTGGATGGTTGTACTGGATGATCTTAGATGTCTTTTGCAATCTTGGTAATTCTATGATTCTCTGTCATTCAAAACAACTCCCCTTCCTCCATCAAATCTAGCTTTGATGGCACTGGTTCTAATATAGGTGGTTGGTTTGACCAACTTTATGGGGTAGTCCCTTCCTGAGTCTGAATCATTACCCACACCCTCTCCTTTTTCCAGACCAGAAAGCTATCTAAGCTTCCTCTCCTTGCAGGGATTTAAGTCAGGGCAGTCTTTCAGCCTGTGTCAGAACAAAACACCATACATAACTCTCCAATTCCAGGATTCAGTGCTGCCTGGCAATTTCCTATTTCAACCTGTCCTTTCACTGGAAAAGTTCATTGAGATGGGCACACTTGTATTAATGACATCCACTTCTGCCCGCAGTCCCTTTGTGGACTTGCAGATTCTGGAGATCCCCGCAACAAAAGACGAGGGTAGCAATTTAACTCCTCAGGAAGCCTACTTAGGTGCATGCATCTGCACGTGAAGGTTGTGGCCACCCTACCTAGGTTACAACCTCAGCTCAGCCATTGCAGCATACTGTCACCAAGTTTCCTTTAATAGAGGACTGTTCCAGAAGAGAGAGAGCAGGCACCCTCCAGCCTTAAACCAGCTTTCCTGTTTGCTCACGCTCCACGTGGTTACCTTTGTACATAAATGGGTGGCTGCTGCTGCTCCTGGACCACCCATGTCTTTTCAGCCACTCTCACAAGGGCTGAGGACCCCTAGCAGCTTTCTCCTCACCCAGAGGACCCCCTGATTGCAGGACAACCCCTTACCCCACACATATCAACTCCCAACTCTGCTGCAGAATTGAAGTTATGCAATCAGACAAAATACACTATTGTTTACTATTACAGTTGAGGATTTACATTAAAAAAAAAAACAAAAACTTAAAACACTTCTCCCATCTTTCTGTAAGCTCTGATTTGTACTTAATCATTATTTTACAACATCTTGCTGCATCTAACCCTCAGATGAAAAACAACACTGAAATGACCAAAACAACTGTTTTAAATAGATAAACTGAAAGTTTAGTAAGCAAACGAAGTTTAAGTCACGCTAAGCCCCAAGAGCTTACAGAAAGAACGCTAACCTGTTTATTGACTTCAGCCATGGACAGTTGTAATGCTGTCAGCATGCAATCGGCTCCACATACAGTAGTCCTTTCAGAGTTTGAAAATAAGGGCCATTGTCTTCTGAAATGTTTGATTAAGTTTAAAATCTTTTGCTGTAAAGAAATCATTGCCTAGAGTAGAACACAGAATTAAGAGAAATAATTGTGAATATAAATATATGAGAGGCCTATACATGTCACCATAAGCTGTGTGCTATAGTTTGCTCTTCCATATCAAATCCACAAAATAAACTCATCCCACAAAAACATAGTCTAGCAAGACTTACCTCACTAACAATGGAATAACTACCAGGAAAACGGGTAGAGAGTGCTTATGAATGATATGTTCATAAAGACCTCTTGTCCTCCTTGCATTTACTAACTTGAAAGAATATCAGAGGGCTGGAGCACCTCTCCTATGAAGAAAGGTTGAGGGAACTGGGCTTGTTTAGCTTAGAGAAGAGAAAGCTCCAGGGAGACCTCACTGTGGCCTTTCAATCCTTGAACAGAAGTTTGGCAGGGGGGTTGGACTTGATGATCTCTGGAGGTCCCTTCCAATCCCTACAATTCTGTGATTCTGTATAAACAGGAGGGGGAACAGCTGTTTACTAGGGTGGATAGCGATAGGACAAGGGGGAATGGTCTTAAACTGAGACAGGGGAGGTTTAGGTTAAATAATAGGAGGAAGTTTTTCACACAGAGGGTGGTGACACACTGGAACAGGTTGCCCAAGGAGGTTGTGGATGCCCATCCCTGGAGGCATTCAAGGCCAAGCTGGATGTGGCTCTGGGCAGCCTGGTCTGCTGGTTGGTGACCATGCACATAGCAGGGTTGTTGAAACTAGATGAGCATTGTGGTCCTTTTCAACCCAGGCCATTCTATGATAATATCAGTAATTTGACAGGACAGTTTTTTGCCTCTACAGAGACAGCCTGAATGCCTCTAGAGAGCACCTTTCATATTCACCACATCATATTCAGACCAGGATCTATTAGCATGGAATCTCTTAAGCAAGAGATTCAGTATTGTTTTTACAACTTATTATCGAAGACACCTATGAATATTTTTGTTGCCTCCATACAAAGCCTTTTCAATGCTCCTTTCCTTAAGTCATCATATTTGCTATTCCCTTTGACAGTGAGTTTCTGTACCAGTTTCAGTTGCCACCCAGCGGCTCAGGCTGCCCAGAGCCCCATCCAAGCCAGCTTTAAGCACCTGAAGGGCCATGGCACCTATAGCTTCACCGGGCTGTGTCTCACCACCCTCTGAGTGAAAAATTTCTCTCTCCCATCTAACCCAAACCCCCCCCTCTCTCGATTTAAAATCGCTCTATTGCTACGCTTCGCTAGAGTCCCTCCCCTTTTAAGTAAGTTAAGCTATTTACTCCACACCCAAGCCCCTCTCAGCCGGCTGAAGCGGTCCCGCTCGCCTATAGCCACTACCTGCACAACCAGGAGGACGAGACCAAGCACTCCACCAGCCGCTCGGAAGGCCCACTAGCCTCTATCGGCGGTTTTCATTCAAACCCTCGGCAGATGCCCAATAGAAAGCGCGAGCCCTGACCCGGAAGCACACGGCAGCCCGTGGGCGGGAGGTGATGGCTGGCGGGAGTAGCGGGTGTATGGCTGGCTGGGCCTGCGGAGGTGTGTGTGAGGCCGCGCGCGAGGAGGGGGGAGAGGGGCTTGCTGTAGGAGGGGGAGGGAAAAGCGATGCTTGGACCTGCCTTGGGGATGAGCGGGTGGAGAGGAGATTGGGCTGTCTCCTGAGCACCTGTAGAATTGTGGGGCACGTGTTGTTAGAGAGCTATCCTGAGCCCTGAAGGGAAAAGCAGGGAGGTGTGTGTGTGTGTGTGAGGGGGTGCTTAACGAGCACCTACGCGGCGCAGTTGTCCGTGTGGTGATTCCGTGAAGAGTGCAGCTAGCAGCATATTTTAGCAGGCTTTTTTTTGTTGTTGTTTGTTTTGTTGTTTTTTGTTGTTGTTGTTGTTTTTTATTTTTTTAATTTAAAGTTAGCCTAAAGTTGGTTTTCACTGAGGCTGAGGGAGCTGGAGCTGTGCAGCCTGGAGAATACGAGGCTCTGAGGGAGACCTGACAGTGGTCTCTCTCTATCTGGAGGGGCTGTAGGAAAAGGGGATGGACTCATTAGCAGGGTCTGTTGTGACAGAGCAAGGGGAAATGGTTTCAGACTAAAAGAGAGGAGACCTAGGTTGGATGAAATTTTTTACAGCACGAGCGGTGAGGCACTGGTGTAGATGCCTCATCCTTGAAGATGCTCTAGGTGAGGCTGGAAGGGCTCTGAGCACCCTGGTGTAGCTGTGGGTGTCCCTGTTCATTGCAGGAGAGTTCAACTAGATGGCCCTTAAATGCCCCTTCCAACTCACGCCATTCTATTATTTTATGTCGTTGGGAAGGCTTTAAGGAAGACTATTATAGGTTGGGTTAAAAGTTGTGTTTGGTCTTAGGAGCATCTCTCTGCAAGTTGTGACCTAATCTAGGTGTTTCTGCTCAGGCAGGGGGATTAGACTAGATTATTTTTTGAGATCCTTTCCAATCCCTGACATTTCGTGATTCTGTGGTTGAAGTATATAAATTAATGGGGTAGCATATCATGCTAATTAATAAACAAACATTGCAGATATAGGGAGCACTTTGTCTCTGTGGTGTCCACAAACCGTGGTAGCATCCAAGCAAAATGTTCTGACTTGAATTCTGAGACCATCAGGTCATTAACATAGCAAAATACATCAAGAAATTTAAAGCTGTTTTTCCATGTTGCATGCAGGGGAAAAAAAAAAAAAAAAAATGTGTTTTTCCAAAAGGTATAAGTTAATATAAAATCTCTACTGGGATTAAGGGGGATGGTTCCAGAATCAGTTGTGTATCTAAGCTGTTTTGGTGCCAGCACAGAAGCCTGATTGTCTTGAAAAGCACTTGAATACAGTAAAGCACTAATTCTGAGATATACTTTAGCTCCAGATGAAAGCTAACTACTTTTGTTCAAATACAGAGGCACAGGGGCTCTGTAGATAGGTTGCAGATGAGTTGACTTCAGTCATGAAACCACGCTTAAGTATTCTACAGGATAGTGTTCTCATTTGCAGTTTTTCAGCCTTAATTCTGCTTTTAATTAGATACCCACTGTCCTTTAAAAGAGGTACAACAGAGTAGAGAATATGAAGGTAACAATACATAATTTTTTTGTTGATACATAATTGTATCAACATGATACAATGTTGATACATAATGATACATAATTTGGTTGAAAACTTAAGCATTCTGAATGGGACTTTTCTAGTGTGTATAGTTAATCTTGGTTTTAGGTTGCCACCAGTAGCACAAAATCTAGTTATTAAGTCTCTAGGAGTGCTTTTAAATGTATGCTAGTCATTTAGGTTAATTGGTTTAATTAATTCCTTGATAGTTGTAATTATGTGCTAAATTTATAAGTAGTGAGCTTAATTTGACCTTTTGTGTCCATTAATGCAGCATTATAGGAAATTTTGATTTGCTGTGCCACAAATGCCTTTTTTCTTATGTGAATGTGTAATACATGTTCTTTAATACTTTCTATATAGGAATGTAGACTTCATCCTGGAAAAGACATCACTTCTGTGATAGCTTGATACAGTTCCCTGAAAATGAAGCAAGATTCTCTTAGAAATGCTGCTTATACTGTGGACTGTGAAGATTATGTGCATGTGATAAAATTCAATCCATTTGATAGTGGAGATGCATGCTCTCTCATTGCATATGGTGGCAACAATTATGTGGTTGTTGGAACATGCAGATTTCAGGTTGGTTTGTGTTTGTTGGTTTTATTAATTTCTTTCTGAAACTCTGCCGGCATTTCTGCTGGTAAAGTCCAGAGCTGACTAAAATTGCTTTTTTTATTATTATTTTTTTTTTTTTTACCAGGAAGCACTGTACTTGTTTACTAGATTAATTAATTACTATATTAATGAATCTGGGATATTTCCCAAGGCATACAAATTAGTATAAAATACTGTCCTGCTGGTATGCTTTCTAAATTGACTGCAATTAAAGCAGGAGTGCTCTTCTGAAAGACATCCTAGTTTTAGCAGTTGCCAACATTTGCAAGTGATACTATCTGGGATCTTAAGCAGTAACTTCATATTTGTAGCACAAATCTCTGATTTTTGTGCTCAGTATTGGACTCTGACTTGAGACTGCCATCACTATATGGATTTTTCATGTATTTCTAGTAAAATTCCTTATTGCAGCAGGTACATCAAACTTTGAAAGCCTTTCTGGTTCATGTAAATTAAAATTGTTTGAAGATGTTACTCTGGATTAGCTAACTGTTGTATTTCTATAGGAAGAGGATGCAGAAGTGGAGGGCATTCAGTATAAGACGCTAAGAACATTTCATCATGGAATCCGAGTTGATGCCATAGCATGGAGTCCGGAAACTAGACTTGATGCTTTACCTCCCCGGATAAAGTATGTAGAATAATTGACTACAGCAAACCTTTGTCACTTATCTGTTTTCTCTAACTCCTTAATATTGAACTAAGTTAAAAGTGTATAAGTGAAATCTTACTCTGAAGAAATTGCTAGCAAAGTCTCTGAACATCATTAGAACAGTAGATTCATTCTAACTTATCCTTGATATGTTCTGCTTCAGGAGCTCCTTTCCTGAGCAACTTGCCCTTCTGTCCCTTCAGTGGATCATTGGTAAATAGTACAATTTTTTCCTTATTCATCAACCTAATGAACCTAAAATGTAGTTTGTCCTTTTGTTGTATGTCTTTGAAGAAGGAATTTTAAGAATACCTTGTAAGAATGACATTATTATGATGGCCTACATTATAAAATTACATGTAGTATTCTCTATGGAACTGTGTTTAGGCATAAGTCAGATGCTGTTTGTGAGACTTGGCATGCCATAAGTCTAGAAAGATGGCTGATTAAGTACACACTTAACAAGATCTAGGAAGTACTCAGTAGCTTGTAAGTCTTTTTGAAACTATGATGATGGTCTGGTGCTGCATGTTTTTACAGTCTTTTGTTTAAAATAAGTTGGAAACTGGTTAATAATTTAATGCTTAAATATTTAAAACACTGGTAATAAGTTTTTTTTTTTTACCATCAGCCCCTTAATTGACATTGAAACTTAGCTTGGAGGAAATTATAAGAGAGATTTCAGGTAATTCACAGTTGATTCAGACTTAGATTTGTAAATATTTTGCATTTCTTTGCAATAAGAAAATATTTTTTGTACTTGATATGCTGTGTTTTTTTTTTTTTACAGGTAAGTTCCAATTAAAGCTCTCCGAATTTCCTTTTGCATGTTGTTTTACAGGTTTAAACTGGAGTGAAACCTTTGTTTGTTTGAAGTCAACTATTGGGCTGTTGATTGACTTAAGGGCTTTTTTTTTGTCTGTTGGGTGTAGGTTTTGTACAGCAGCTTCTGATAGGAAGTTAAGACTATTTACTTCAGACCTGCAGGACAAGAATGAATATAAGGTAAGGGCAACTCAGTTCATTTAAAATATTTGTTTATTCTCTAGTGGAGTCTAAGCTTTAATTATCCTTCTGCCTCACTTTGTTTAATGTCCTCTGTGAAGTAGAGCACTACACTGTGGCAGATGCATCATCTTTAAGGGGCCTATGTTTAGTCCAAAATATATTTGTGATCAGAATATTGTACAGGTGAATTTCAAGTACTGTGTTAGAAAAGGTTCCTTTACATACTGACCTGTAAAGTATTACAATGTTTTGGTTGTTGGACTCCTCTATTACAGAAAGTGACTTTACTGATCTCTCTCTTTTATTGGGAACTGGCAAGTTGTAATGATACCATTTAATACAGTAGAAAACTTTAAGAATACTGAATTAAGTACGTAACTGCAGACACCTCGCGAAACATGCGTGTGGACCATCATTTACTTTAACTAAAGTAAATGTCTACTTCAGATATATTTCCACTTCATGTTCTTAAATCAGTTAGTAAGAGATGTCAGATCTAGATACTGAGATTTCTCTTATTCGTATAGACACGGATGACTGAGTGACTCCTATATCACTTGTATGTCTACTTCAAAGTTCTGCACTTGAAACATGAGTGAAGAATTTCACCTTAACATCGACCCTAAATCTTCCCTCTTTTAGTGTAAAGCCATTGTCCCTTGTCCTATCGCTCTCAGATGTGTAAAGAGTCATTCTACATCTTGTTTATAAATTCCCTTTAAATACTGGAAGGCTGCAATGAGAACTCCCTGAAACCTAAACTTCTTCACGCTGAACAAACCCAACTCCTGCAGCCTTTCTTGGGAGGAACAGTGCTCCAGCTCTCTTATCATCTTTGTGGCCCTTCTCTGGACCCTCTCCAACAGCTCCATGTCTCTCACATGCTGGGGATGCCACATGGGGCTTCATGAGGACAGAGAAAAGGTAGACGACCACCTCGCTTGCCCTGTTGGCCACCCCTCTTCTGATGCAACTGAGGATACAGTTCTGGCCTTTCAG